GACCTACCACAACCTACACTTATGGGTGCCACAACCTCAGTCAACTGTGTGACCCTCAGAACCTGCTCTCACCCAGGACCAAGACCTCCCTGACAAAAACCGCAGCATTGAAGGTCACATCAGGCAGCCCAAACTCAGACCCTCAGAGACGCTGCTCAGCGGAGGCGGCACCCAAACCCGGGGCGCCACAGCCACAGACACTGCCTACGCACCCTTCCTCCTGCAGGCCCAGCCAAGCAAAGCGACCACTGGGGTGGGCAGGTGCAGGAGCGTAGGTGCACCGTCAGAAAAAGTTGGGCTTCCTCGTGCACTGCGGACCATCCCCTGAGCGGCATAAGACCCAGAGGAAGAAGAGAAAAACGACCCTAGGAGCCACTCCAGGGTGAGACCTGGTTGCCTCGCTATGACTCTTGCTGACCCAGGGAAGTGTTGCTGTTGCACCCATTCTCGGCTGAGGTACCCCAGGCTCAAACAGAAGCCCAGACGCTGCCTGCCCTCACAGCTGGGCACCCAGGCAGTCGCTGACCCTTGAAGGAGGGATGGGGATGGGCAGCAGGCAGGACAAGTCCTGTGGGCACCTGTGTCTGCCAGCTTGGGTGTGGGGGCAGGGATGTGGAGGCTGCTATGTACGTCTGCTTGGACACACAGGTCACAGAGGTGTCTTTCCTGAGCCCTTGGCAGCTGCCCCAGGAGGGTGGGCTCTCTCCATGGTTGCCACTCCCAATGTTGCCATGGAAACTACAGCCCCAGTCAGGGGTCCTTTGGCCCCTCCATGTGTCTGCAGTGAGCCTGTATATAGGGCCAAGGTCAACGGAATCCACGCTTCAGTGGGACGGCTCCTCCTACCTCTGCAGTGGGGCTGTGGACCACACAGCCCTGCCGGAGTCTCAGAAACCCAGGAGGTATTGCCTCCCCAGCATCCCTACCCAGGGAAGCTTTGGGGTTTCCATGAGCATGCAGTGGCTGCACTGGGCCTGCATTTCACACACACTTGATATGTCTCATGAGTGAATGCATGTATTGGTGTGGGCCTCCAGGTGTCCCCTGGGTCCCTTCACAGTCTGCCTGCAGTTTGGTGGGGGTTGCAGTCACTAGCATGGTCCAGGAGCTGCCTGACCGTTGTATTCCTGGTATGAGGGACCGGGGCAGGAGCAGAAGAGAGACAGCCATCACATTCCTGGGCCATGAGTCACAGGGAGCTCCACCCAGGTGCCCGCCACGACCCCCTCCACCAGGAAGCCCCCTCCTAGGAACAGGAGGGAAGCAGAAGCTTTCCAGGCTGCAGTCAGCTAACTTCTGTACTCACCGTGGGCAGCCACCTGGGCTTCCTAGGGATCTCACATGTGCCCCCTACGCATGCAGGTGGGAAATGGGGGGCAGTTAACCTCTTCTTCCGGGCTTCTGGCCTCCTTCCTGTCACCCTCCTCTGCCCTAGAGGCCCTGGTTGCTGCTGACACAGCACAAGGCATGTGCCCACCCCAGGGTAATGAGTCACAACACGCCACCAGCCATGGACACATATGATCTGGGAGTTCTGGTCCCCTGAGTCACGCACACCCAGCCCTTCTGGGCTGATTCCACATCCTGGTTTTGCACATATTTTGGGGTCTGTGCACAACCCCTCTGTTCTTGCACATAGAAAATGACCATGCAAACATGTTTCCATGTGTGCACACGCATGCACACACCTCCATGCTACTTTGCACATACACGTGAGTTCTGTGCACACACTTCCACACCCATGTGCACGGGCACACAGCACCACTTTCATGCTCACACAGGCATGGTCCTCAGATCCTGTTTCTCCGTCTCTGCACCCACGGGTCCCTTGCCCAGAGGCACACATGTGCACCACACCTGGCAACATACACATACATCCAGTCCCCACTTCTCCCTCCCTGGCTCTGGGCCCCGGGGATCTGGGCCAGGCTGGCGGGCTGGAGTTTCTGCCCGGACCGTCCCACTTCCGCGCCCCCGCCAAGCGGCCGCCAGGTGCACCGGCCCGGCCCTCGCCTGGTCGGCCGGGAGGGGGCGGTAATTACGCGGCCCCAGGGTCTCTCCCCCTCCACGCGCCTTTCATCCCGGCCACGCCCGACCCGAGCCCAGACGCTCATTACCGCCTCCCGCCCGGTCATTAGCCGGGGTCGGGGGAGGACCCGGCGTCCGGCGGGCCGGGCCCAGCGGGGAGGCCTGGGGGTTCGGTGCGGGAGCGCAGCGGCCACGCCCCCGTCTCCGTGGCAACGCGAGTGGGTGAGATGTCCTGCCCCGAGGAAGTGGGGTGGTCTTCGGGCGGGCGCCTGTGGAGGAGCGTCTTGTGAGTGCGCAGTAGACCTTCGGCCTAATCCGCGTCCAGCCGGTCAGGCGGCAAGCCGCGCATCGCGGCCGCGAATAGCAGCTTCGCCCCCGCCCAAGGCTATTTTAAGCCCCCTCTCCCCGACCACCCCAAGCGCTCTGGCGGAGGAGTGGGATGGAGGGGGCCTGAGGGCGGGACGGGAACCCCCTCCCACGCCAATGCTCGTGGCAGTCGACTGGACCGCGAGGCGGGTCCGGGAGCCCCTGGCCAGCCTTACAACGAGGCCGCAGCGCCCCCTTGTGTCCTCAGGGAGAACGTGGAGCAGGGCCGAGGCAGGGAGCGAGGTGGTCCCAAGCCCCCTACGACCACCCTCCCCACCCCGCCGCTCACGGGGACAAACAGTCCTTGTTACACACTGAGTCACAGGGACACGCCGGCAGCCAGGTACGGATACAGGTATCACACCTGAGACGCAAGCACACACTTCCCACACTGTGCCCGGGGCAGGCGCACCTGAGGACAGGTATCCACAGGTATAGGTCCACACTGCGGTGGGAACCCAGGACAGTCGTGGGTACTTACTCAGCCCTGTACCAAGCAACAGCCTCGTAGTAAGTACACGCTGAATAACTGCTGGTGGAAAAATGAATGAACCAAGGTACTTCATAAAACCAGGAGAAGGCAGATTAGGAACCACGGAACAGTGGGGGCCGGGGGCAAAGAGTGATGAGGGTCCCCTGTGAGTCCGGGGCCCCTGTCGCCTGGGCTGGGGTCAGGAGCCGCCGACCTGACTGCTGGGGGAGCAGATCAGAACGCCGGTGGAGGGGGGGATTACTCTCCGGCTGGGCATGCCCAGCCCTCCGGCTCCACCATGGGCGCCGCGGGAGGGGGAGCTGAGCGATGAGTCCCTCTGCTCCTTTTAATAACCGCCCTGCGTGAGTGGCTGACGCAGCAGCTCCTGCTGCTGCTGACAGAGTTGTATGGTGGGGGCTGTGGTGTGGGGGACGAGGCGCAGAGAGATGGCTGCCAGGAGTCATGAACTACTGCCTGAAACTGGGAGGGGTCCCAGCGACCTTGTCACAGGAGACAGTGTCCATACCCCCGTGCCTACTATGTCAGCTAGACCCACCCGAGCGTGGGATCGAGTGTGGGGCTTGGGGAGGCCTGGAGCTTGCCTGGTATGTGTGTGAGGTCTTTCTTCTCGGATTCCCTCTTAATTTTTCTTTTTTTTAAGCCTCAATTTGGGGCATATGTGATCCTAGTTCTCAGACCAGGGATTGAACCTGCACCCTTGCATAAGAAGTGGGGAGTCCTAACCACCGGACCAGCAGCGAAGTCCCTCAAGTCCCTCTAACTTTTAGCAGAATGTCTACCTTTGAAGACCGTCTGGAGCAGGAGTATTACCTTGGACCTCTGGTCTCGAGAGGCAGGGGTCTGCATTAGCTTCTTGCACCCCATGGAAGGGTTCAGGGCCACAGAAGGTAATATGAGCCAAGGCCTGGGCAGGGGGAAAGGGGTGACAAGAGGAGAAACTGGGAACAGCCTTGGTGGTGAATCTCTCTGCAATAGCAGAGGTGTTGGGACCCCCAGACAGGAAAAAGTTTCATGGGGAGGAGCCAAGTGGCACGCCCCTGGCATGGGCAGTGAGTGGGTTCTAGGTGTGCAAAACAGTGTTTTTTGAGGGGAAGGGAGGGGGCTGGAGCACACAGTGAAGTTGGGGGCTGAGCTGAATGTTGGGGTGCAGTGGAGACTCCAGGGCTGGGCACAGAGCCAGTCAAGGTCAGCCTGCAATCTAGAGCCTGGGATGCACAAAAATGTGTGGCCGGCTGACTGTGGGGTGTGGATGCCACCTACCAGACCTAGTGAAGTCAGGATTGGGGTGGGAATTAGGTGTGGATGCAGTCTGGAATTTGTAAGGGAACAAAGTTGGGAAGCAGGAAGAATTGGGATCGTGGAGAATACTGGGGTCCACATAAATGGAGTTGTCTCAGTGTTAGGGTTTGGGCGGGCTTTGGGGCTGACCACATGAAGTGGTGTATTCAGGAGAGTTGAGGTTCTAGGAGTTCTGGGTTGTCCGTTAGGTTGGCAAGTTTATAAAGACTGATGCCGGGGTTCAGATGAAGGTGGGGTGTCTGAAAACTGTATCTCGGGTGGTTCTGGGTACCTAAGTGAGGTTGGTTAGTCGGTAATTGCTGGAGCACCGCAAAACTGGGGGTTTCAGCCACCCCCAGAAGGTTCCCAGGAGATGCTCTGGCAGCATTCGCCAGAGCCCCTTTGTTCTCCGCCACAGGCCAGGGGGCGGGCATGCGGAAGTAGGTCCGCTCTGCCCCGCCGCGAACCTGCCCCGCCCCCCACTCACTGGCTGGGAACTGCGGACCCCGCGCGTCCCTGTGCCCAGCGCCCACGCGCGGGGGGGGGGCGGGACCGCTACAGGCCCGGCCCCCCAGCTCATGAATATGAGGCACAGCCACGGTCTCCAGGGCCTGGGATTGGCCGGCGCAGCGCGGGGAGGATAGCTCAGGGGCGGGGCCTGGCGGCGAACTATATAAGGCCAGGCGCACAACGCCCCCCTCCTCACTCGCGCGTTAGGAGGCTCGGGTCGTTTTGCTGTCCTGTCTTCCTGCCTGCGCCAGGGACCTGCCCAACTCAGTGGTGAGGGCCCTGGTGGCACCGGCTCCACGGGCCCGGGGCGGCGGGCGGCCTGCGGCTAGCTGGGCGGGGCGGTGGCGGCACGCCCTTGGGCGGGGGCGGTGCCAGGGCGGGCACGGGGTGGAGTCCGCCCCGCCAGCGGCGAGGGGCAGCGTAGACCGGGTAGAGCCGTGGCCGGACGGCATTCCCTGTGGGCCAGGCCTGCCGCGAGCGTGACATCTCCGTAAAATGGCGGCCGCGAGCGCGAGACAGCGCCTATCGAAATGGCGGGAGCGCCAATGCCCGGATGGAGTGGCGCAGGACGCGCGCGGGGGCGCATGCGCATGTTGGGCGTGGCCGGACCAGGGCTCCTCCCCGCTTTCCTATTGGCGTTCTGCGAGGGCAACACAGCACTGTCGCCACCCACGGCTTAAGTTTGGGTCCTAGTTTCGCGGCTGCAGGTCGCTTTGTGGCCTGTTTCTGGCTCCTCGGCGGAAGCCTGTGTCCCATAGAGGGTCAATCTAAGCACCGCCCCACAATCCCGCCCTGCGTTGGCATCCCAGCGCAGACGCCCCCCGCCCCCACTCCCCCGCCACTCCCTGCACAGTACCATCCAGTGGACCAAGCACTCTGCCATGATGGTCTGGTTAGGACTTAGTTCTCCGGTGTTTGCAAAGTGCGGAAGCCAAGATGCACTCAGCCCATGGCAGTGGTGGTCGATGCCCTCTTTAAGGGTCCAGTGTTAAACCTCCTGTGAGGGTGTGACCAGGCTGGAGTTTGGGGGCCCCATGGTCAAGTAGCACTGACGAGCGCGGCAGAACCGCGGTGTGGACCCAGCTCTCGGAGCTCCGAGTATTGGTTGAGAGGGGTCGACTTGGCCCACGCTCAGAGTAGAGGCAAAGGGCCCGAAGTGATAAAGGGATTAAGGGCTTGTTTGAGATGAAGTACTGGGTGTGGGCTTGGGACAGTTAAAGGGCAGCAAAATAATTTCTCACGGTTTCCCCCATGAGCATATGTTACTTGTATAAAGTAAAATAGGGAGGGGTGAGTTTGGAAGCCCCTGCAGGACCTCAGAGTATTTCAATGGTGTTTTCCTCAGGCCACCATGGCATCAGATGAGGGCAAGCTTTTCGTCGGAGGGCTGAGTTTTGACACCAATGAGCAGTCACTGGAGCAGGTCTTCTCAAAGTACGGACAGATCTCTGAAGGTGAGACTGGTGCCAGAGGAGGTGGCTGAGCAGGGCTGCACACAGGGAGGGCGGGGTCCTGACCTCAGACCTCTCTACTGCACAGTGGTGGTCGTGAAAGACAGGGAGACCCAGCGATCCAGGGGCTTTGGGTTTGTCACCTTTGAAAACATCGACGATGCCAAGGACGCCATGATGGCTATGAATGGGAAGGTGAGGGGTGGCCACTTTGGGGTCCGGAGGGTCTGGGCTGCAGACCTAGGGCGGGAGGTGTAGAGGTTTACCGTGTTCACTCTTGGTCTCCAGTCTGTGGATGGGCGGCAGATCCGGGTGGACCAGGCAGGCAAGTCATCTGATAACCGATCCCGTGGATACCGAGGTGGCTCTGCTGGAGGCCGGGGCTTTTTCCGCGGGGGCCGGGGCCGGGGCCGTGGTTTCTCCAGAGGTGAGTGCCACCTGCGGGGATGAGGTGGGGGGCATTGCTGCAGGAGCTGACACTTTTCCTTCTGTGCCCTCTGTAGGAGGTGGGGACCGCGGCTATGGAGGGAGCAGGTTCGAGTCCAGGAGTGGGGGCTATGGAAGCTCCAGAGACTACTATAGCAGGTGGGGCAGCGGTCCTGCAGAGGGTGGGGGCTGGTGGAAACCCCCTGAGGTGCCCTCCATGCCCATCTTTGTCCTTCTTGCAGCCGGAGTCAGGGTGGCGGTTACGACCGGAGCTCTGGCGGGTCCTACAGAGATAGCTACGACAGTTATGGTAAGTGGCACTCCAAGGGCTGGTGGTGGGAGTTCAGCGCGCCTCAGTGCGCTCTGCCAGTCTCGATCAGAGCTGGTTACTCTGCTGACCCTGTAAGGGACAAGACTGCCCTCTCGGGTCTTGGTGCCAGCAGCCACTTCTACTGACCAAGGAGAAAAGGGAGATCCAGGGCCTCTGAGCAGAGTGGGCAGGCAGTATCCGTGCGTGTGGGCCACCGCCACCCTCGGCTGTGGGGGGGTTGGTTGCTCTTGAGGCTGCAGGGCTGGGCCCCCAGGGCCGGGCCAGGCGTGGACTGCTGCCTCTTGCCGTCTGCTTCCGCGCCTTTACACTGTGCCTGCTTCTTGTTCTCAGCTACACACAACGAGTAAAAATCCTTCCTGCTCGAGATCGTCCTTCCAATGGCTGTGTGTTTAAGGATTTGGGGAGCGCCGCTGCATCGTTAGTGTGTAGTGACCACGCCTCCTTGTGCCCACTTCTGTAGTTTTGTTGGTTCTGATCTTGTCAAACACAGCCTGACTGCTTCTGACCCCCAGATGGCCTCACTGCTGCCCTTTGTTTTTTAAGGAAGTGCATTCTGTTTTTAAGGGTTTTTAAATCGTTTTGAAAAGCACTTCTAGTTTTACTTTTAACCTTTTTACCACTAGCCAAGAGATTTTTTAGAAAATAACTGGGGGTTGTGAGGGTTTTGTTTTTGTTTTTGGTTGTGTTGCCATTTTCGTTTCTTTTCAGTGGGGTCAACCCCGTGAGGTTGCTCTTTTTTGAGGTTGAACGAACTCTGGATCTGCTCTCTTTGTCGGAAGCTGAGCAAGCTGTGGCTTTTTTCCAACTTGGTGTAACATTTCTGAGTGTAGCGTGGTCAGACCGTGCAGGAGGCAGTGGAGGTGCCCGGGCTGCCCGCCTGTCCTGGGCGACCCACAGTCCCCAAGAGGTTCTTGACAATGTGTGTTTATATTGTCCTTTTTTACTGGAAGTCATACACATATGCCATCACTGTTGTATTTGAAGTGGTTGAGGAATCCTTGTATGCCGTTTTCTTTGGCTTCACGAAGCTGATTAAAAGACTGTCTGAATGAACCTCGCTCTGAGCATCTCCCTTTGATCACACCACACGCGTCCTGCTGCCAGCTTGAGGCAGGCAGAGTAGAGCAGAGCGGGCAGCTAGAGGACTAGGGCTGCCATCCTGCTTGCAGCTCCCAGAGCTAGAGGAGGAAGGTAGAGCCAGTGATGCTGGCTGGGCCCCTGTGACCACTGACTGCCCCCACCCAGTTAGGCGAGCAGGTGGGTGACGGGAGTGGGCTCTCGGACTGCAGGGCAGCCCCGGGATTCTTCTGGCCGTGGCAGCTGGAGGGCTCAATGGGCGGGCAGCCTAGCAGGGACAGTGGACATGGGGGCGCCCAACGCTGACCCTGAGCCCCTTAATCTAGAATCAGGCCAGAGAGCGAGCGGATGCAGACAGTGTCCCTGGGTGACCACAGACTGACTGGCTCATTAGCTAGCTCTGCTGTTGCTTTACAAGTTCTGAGCATTCTCTGCTAGCCTATGGAAGCTGCAGCCCCTCGGAGGACAGAAGTGTTGTGCGCCCAACAGAACCCTCTGAGACGCAAGCCGCTCCCTGGGCTAGCTCATATGTGGAGATAGTCCTGTCACCGAGGTAACTCCTTTTGCTCGTCCGCATTCCTCCTCTCTCGGGCGCTCATATGAAAGGAAAGCCATATCACCCGGGGAATGTTCCTTTGACTTTTTTGCTTTTCTATTTTTTTTCCTTTTTTTTTTTTAAATAAAAACAAGGTGGAACCAAAGGCAGGCCCCAGCCATTTGCCCTTCCCCACCTGCAGCCAGGCGAGCAGCCTGAGCAGTTGAGCTTCACTGGTAGGTTCCACCCACTAGTAGGATTGGAGACCACCAAACGCCCTGCCTTTTGGAATTTTTTGTTCATCAGTTGACTGTCTTTTCCAGACCTCTTTAAGTCACACTGCTAACTAGTTCTCTACGGTGTCTGCTGCTGCCATGACATTTTTCCCAGAGCTTGTGCCGTTTTCTAAGCAGCTCCGTCCCAAGTGGGTGGCTGGCTCTGCTTAAGAGTGGAAGGTAGCCTGACCCATCTGAAAGGCTCAGGCCTGCCCATGGCGGGGCCTCAGGTTGGCCCCGATGACTAGCTTGAGACCCTCCCAGGAGCTGTGGATTGTTCTGGGGGAAGCAGGGAGGGGAGCTCAGCTCTGCCAGAGGGTAAGGGCTAACACTTCTTTGCTTTGGCAGGTTGAATGGAAGTCAGTGTGACCCAGAGGAAGTGTGGCCTGAGAACAGTGTTGACCTGGGGTTCCTGTCCCAGGAGGGACTCTACCCAGGATCGAGCCAGAGGCACGGATGCCTGCCCTCGCAGCCCGTCGCCTGTAAGTGCTTCCTGGGGCGGGAGGCATGTGGCCCTTTGGCCCAGGCCCTTGCAGTGGGTTCTCCCCTCCCAGCAGCGTGATCCATTGGGGACAGCATCTTCGCCTCCTGCTGGAGTGGCCCTTGTGCTCCCCCCAATCCCTCCTATCTTTTCAGCAGATGTTTTACTGGCAAGGTTGGGGCACGGGGTTCAAGGTGCTCCCAGAGGACAGGCCTGTGGTGCTGGCAAGGCGATGGGTCCTCACCCGCGATGTGACAAGAAAGCGTGGAAGTCACGTTTGAATAAAGGGATGGTGTGTCCACCCACAAATCTTGAGTCTCGTTTGGGGCGTGGTGTGGAGGGTGGACACCGATTCTGCAGGGGTGGTCCAGATGGAAGGGGTGTGGTGGAGAGTCCACTGGAGAAAACCTATTTCGGCCTTCCTTCTGGGCATGAGCTGGGATCAAACCAGGAAGACCATCTTGGCAGCTCATTGCCTTTTTGGGCAGTTCCCCTGGGACTGTTCTCTCAGGGTCTGAGAGGGTGTGGCCAGCCTGAGCAGAGGAGGAGGTGGTCCCTTGGGTCCCCCATCCCAGGAGGGCAGGCATTTCTCCCAGAGCCCAGGCTGAAGTCTTGACAGTGACCCTGGGCATCTTCATCTTTACAGTCCACGGGGCTGGTGGCCTTGCTCCCAAGCTGCTTGCTTTCTGCCCCCGTCTTGGGGTGCAGAACCTTAGGGTTGAGCCGTGGTTCCACTACCTCGGGCTCTGGGCTGGTTGTATCAACTCCGATCAGGGTGTGGCCCTGGGTCACTGGCTTAACTCCCTGCTTCTCCCACGGGATGTGTTTGGTCTCTTCTGGTCTACCCCGCCCCCAAAGGCAGGATGTGCAGGTTCGGGGCCTGGATGTCTCCTCCATGGGAAGATCAGGCCCAGTGTGCCACCGCGCAGCTGTCACCGTAGCCCAGGGCGAGTTGGGTAGGGACGCAAGTGTTGCCAGGGCCCACCTGGGAGGGAGGCCCGCCGGATCCCGTAGCACCTGCCTCCGCATCAAAGTCCCTGACACTGGTAGGTGTTCCCAATAACCCGCTCCCGACGTGGCGTGCGGGGCGGCCGCGGTGCTCACGCTCCGGTCGGGGGACAGGACAGGCTTCGAGCCCTCGGGAACAGGCTGAGCGAGGAGCCAGCCGGTTCGGGACGCGGGGAAACATGAGCCCAGGTGAAGTGAGGTGAACGGCCGGGGGGGTGGCTAGGCATTTCCGGCTACGAAGCCACGCCCCTGAATCCCATTGGCTGACACTGCCCCGCGCCATTGAATGACAGCGCCTAAAGTGGGGCGGGGCGCAACTAGCGCTTCCGCCGGGCCATGGGGCCGCGCTTGCTACCGCCGCGGCTCCTGCTGCTGTCGGCGCTCTTGCTGCCGCCACTGCTGTGCGGAGCCGAGGACACGCCCCCGTCACCACAGGCCACGTTGCCGCCGCCGCCCGTCGTGACGAACGGGAGCCAGCCGGCTGCATCGTACAACAGTACACATCCGCGGCCGCCAGGCTCGCCAGGCTCGCCACTGCTGCGCTCTCTCTACGTGGTCACGGGCTTCATCGTTCTGGCCGCGCTCTACTTCCTCATCCGGGCATTCAGGTGCGTCAGGCGCACGCCGCCGCCGCCCGGGCGCAGCCAATCCTCCCGCGCCTCGCGCCCCACGTGCTTAGGCGCCTGAAGCCCGGTGCGCCAGCGTCACGTGGCTGGTTGGGTGGGTGCGGTAAGAAAGTCACGTGGTGCGCTGTTTTTTTTTTTTTTTTTCCGCCGAAGTTTGGGTGCTGCCGCTAGTTTTCCAGAGGGAGCCACGGAGGCGAGAGGTTGTGGGTTGCGTAGGGCACCGGGAGTCTCCGGAACACTATGCGGCTCCGCCAGCCTGGCGACGAGCGTCGCGGCCACCAGTCCAATTTGCGTCTGCGAGTCGGGGCTGGCCGCATTGTTCCCTGTAGTTAATGCTCACAGCCCGGCCGGTGCCAGACCGGAGCCTGGCCCTGTGATTTGCTGCTCCTGTTCAGTCCAGGGCTGGCCATGATTATAGGTGTCTAGGTTCTGCCCATGCTCCCCCAAGTTGAGGACCCTCTTGCTTTTCCCGCCTGCAATACGGGAGACCTGGGTTCGATCCCTGGGTTGGGGAAATCCCCTGGAGAAGGGAAAGGCAACCCACTCCAGTATTCTGGCCTGGAGAATCCCTTGGACGGAGGAGCCTGGCAGTCTGCAGTCCATGGGGTCGCAAAGAGTCGGACACAACTGAAGCGACTTCACTTTCTTTCACTTTGCTTTTCCCGAGGCATACCCCCTGCTTGGTGCGGGCCCTTTGGCCCCTCCTCGGGCCCCTGACCTCCGCATTTGGCTTCCTCTCTGGGGTTGATCTCCAGAAAGCCTGTGTCCCACAGAGCTGACCATGTTCAGGAGCTCTCAACGGGCATTTTCTGTCTTCCTCGAACACTGCTGTGGGTGCACAATGCTTGTCTCCATGTCAGTGCATGCTGTATCCATCATAGAGACCTCGCGATTTCTCTGGTGGTGGTCGGGAGCCAGAGCTTCTATCTGAGACAGCTCTCAACTTGATGTTTCTGGCAAACCCTAATACTTTCTCTGAGACTCAGTCTTCTTATCTGTATAGTGGGAGAAACCCACCCCCCCTCCAACGGTCTTAGCTCGGGGGCCTGCTAAGGGAGATGTCCACCTTTTGTTATTGATATAAGAGCAATTGATGATGGTTGTGACCATTGTGAGAAGAAGTGCAATTAGGCCGGGAAGGTACACTGCAAGGCTTTGGGAGTCATGCAGAGGAGGATTATGGGGAAAGGTGGGAAGCTGGACAGGGGGTCAGCAGCTTCACGGAGAGGTTGTGAGAGAGTCACTGAGTGAGCCTGGGCCTGCTTTCAGATTGAAAAAGCCACAGAGGAGGCGATACGGGCTCCTGGCCAACACCGAGGACCCCACCGAGATGACCTCGATGGACAGTTATGAGGAGACAGTCTTTGAGACGAGGAACCTGAGATGGTAGGGTAGCACTCTACACACTTTCTGGGGCTCCTTGGGTGGATTGGGGGTGGGATCAGCAGGAAGAGAGTCAGGTGGATTACCTGTGCCTGTGCTCAGCATAGTCAGCACCCAGCAGCAGGGGTGGGCCTGGAGTGGGCACTGTTTTGCTGTCACAGGCTGCGTGGCCTCATCTGAGGCCCCTGTCTCACAGTTTCAGTTTCCCATTTCTTTAACATGGGAACTAGCTGCATGGTTGGAGTAGGTGAGCACTTCCTCTTTGCCTGACACTGAAGGCCAGGATCAGTGTCAGAGATGGAGGATTCTTGCCAGGTGCTACCAAAGCTGCGGGATGGGTCTGAGACTGCCTCTCCAGCGCCCAGCCCTGGTAAGAGTGTCCCAAACACAGGGAGAGCAGAGAAGAGAGTGGGTTGACAACTGAGGTGAACCAGGGGCTTTGGGCTCAGGGCCAGCGACTGCCTGAGCGGGATTGATGGCTCCTTTAACCCCAACATGTTGCAGGCTCAGGCCCAGAAGCTTGGAGACCATAGGATGATTCTGACTTTCTGGCCCCCTTCCTACCCCCAGAGGGAGGCGTGGGTATGGTCCACGAATCCCTCTGGTGTCTGTATCTCCTGGCTACAGCACCTACGGCCTTTCCCCCCAGGTCGGGAGTCAGCAAGGCCTGCAGGCTGGGGGCAGGGGCTGGGATGTTAGAGGGCTCAGCACTCAGCCTCAAACACAGCTGGGTGGGGGCAGAGTGGGGTGAGCTCACCCACATTTCTCACCACCTTCTACTCCTCCTTTCCAGATGTTTGGTTCGGGAAGGCAGCATTTCCAGTGGCCCTGGGGGAAGGATGAAAGGCAGGGGCCCTCCCAGTGCTTGGAACACCCTGCCTGGACCAGAGAGTGTGTGTGGGGCCCTCCCGGCCCACTGGAAGCCAACTCAGCCCTCCCTGCAGACAGGACTGCCCAGGTTACCAGGTGGAAGCCAGAGGGGCACCGGCAGCCCCACACAGGACTCTGAGGCCCCTGGCCATGATGTGACTTATATCAGTCACTCTCCCTGGTGGGAATGCAGCAGCACCAGCCTGAGGCCTGGAAGGCGGGCAGGCTGGATGTCCTGTCTGGGAGCACCGTTCCTCTGGGGCGGGGACAATAAAGGCAGCAGTGCTTTTGTAGCCGGTACCCAGCTCCACAGCGGGCCAGACCCGGCACCCTGGCTCATGGGTGGGGCAGGGGGCAGCAGATTTGGGTCCATGTCAGCCTCAGTTCTCCCCCCTGTGACCATCTGGATCATCCCTGGCTGTTCAGAGGGTCCCATGGGGAATCCCACAAAAGAGGGATAGAGATGGGGGAGACCTGCCCCCACCTGTCTGGAAGAAGACCCTGCCACTAGTTACCTCTAGGCTTAGTAAAGGAGAACTCCTGTTTGTCCAACAAACTGCTTAAGGGGTTCCCTTCCAGGCCGACTTCAGCCCAGGGCCCCTCAAAGGTGGTGTCCTCTGCTTCACCACACACTCCTGCTCCAGAGTCATTTCTCACAGAGCCCCAGGCTGCAGCGTCCAGGTCTGGAGCCAGCTGAGGCTCCCCGTGCCCACCCTGCCCTCTCCTTTCAGCCTCCAGTGAAATCACTGGTGAACCTGATCCCCCATCCCAGGCAATCTGTGCTGGCACTCAGGCCTCTGTTCTGGCTTCCTGAGTCCCATGGGGACACGTGAATTCCACAGCGTGGGGCTCAGTGCCCATCTTGGCCATCTCAGTCCCATATCTGGAACTTAAACCCCTTTCAGGCATCTTGAGTCCCATCAGGGCAACTGATCCCCATTCTGGGCACCTGAACCTCTTAGGGGTACCTCAGTCCCCATCCTCATAATCTGGGATTCATCCTGGCACCTGACCCCATAGGGGTGTTTCAGTCCCCATCTTGACCGTCTGAGGCCCATACTGGTCACCTGAGTCCCACTGGAGTACCTTGGTTCCCATCCCTTGTGATGGGCTTGATGAGTTACACTGTGGGCCTTGTTTCTAGGCAGAGTCTGGCTCTGGCCTATTCCCCCTTGCACCCTATAAATGTGGTTGTGGAAAGCAGGACCATTGTGGCTGGCCTGTAGCTCTGTGCCCAGCCTGAGGTTACCCTCAGGCCTCTGGCTGAAAGTATGGAGGCCACGTTGTTAGAAGGAGCTGTCATCAGAGGGAGCTGCCACCAGGTGGCAGCCTTGTGCTGCACAGTCTCTACCCTGTTGGCCTACGGTCCCAGGTGTGGCCTGAGCCAAACTTTGTATAGGTGGGAAAATAGGTTTGGCTGGGGCCCTGTTTCTCACACCTCAGCTCCACCTTGCTGCCATGTCCACCATGGGGTGGTCTGAGTGTGCTGCCCACTCAAGCCTCATCAGCCCCTCTGGCCAGTCTCCCTCAGACCTGCTGACCCTTCCCACCCAGCCTGAGCCTGGGTTCCTGAAGAAGCACCATCTCTGTCACAGCTGGTCCCCCCTCCCTCCAGCCAGGGTCCTTTGCGTTGGCCCCCAGTTGACTTCCGTCTCTGTTGGCAATATCTCCCATCATGCCCAAGGCTGCTCACAATTCCTCTTCCCCTTCTGATGCACTGCTGCCACCTCCAGGAGGTCCTCCCTGACTGCCCACTACCATTCTTTGGCAGACCCCTGTACAGACTGGCCAGCAGGTCCCCAGTAACCAGGGAAGGTTGAGGAACTGAGGCCACAGTCCCAGGGAGGCACTGAGATGACATCTCCCAACCCAACCCCCCTGCTCTCTCCCCATCTGTTCCCCCTGTGGGTCTTTCGACGCATCTCTGCTTTTTTGTCTCTGTGTCTCTGTCTTTATTTTATTCTGAAGCCTTGCTTACCTCCCTATTGGTGTCTCTCACCATCTGCACTGCCTCTCCCTCGGCCCCCCTCCGTTTCCGTCTGTCCCTCTGTCACTCGGGCTCTCTCTGTGCCTGACTCACTGGGACACGCTTTTAACAGGCACGCAGACACCATCCATGGCCCGCCCCCCCTGTGATCTGCTCCCCTTTCCCACAGCTCTGAGCGATTTCTCCAGCTTCAAAAGGCACATTAATTACTCTAATGAGGTCAGGAGAGACCCCGCGCTCTGCCATCCGGAGCCAGGAACACACCGCGTGCCCCCGCAGCCCTGTGCCTCCTGCCCACCCCCCTCGGGTGGGACGGGGAGCCCCGCCCGCTACCCGGCCCCTGTGCCTGTCAGTGCAGTCAGTGCGTGCACCCGTGCCCCCCGCACCCCCCGCATTAGTGTCGAGTAATTGGCAGCCCCCGCCAAGGTTAATGCACTATTAACAGGAAGTTCTCGGTGGCTAAAAGCCGGGAGAGGGGCCTGTCAGCGCGAGATGAAAGGCCCTGGGGCCTGGCTGGCTGGAGGGACACATGTGCGTGTATGCGTGCGTGTACGTGTGCGTGCCGGATCGGGAGGCCTTCCAGCACCTTCCTCCACCTTGTGCAATCACGCACGGGCATAGGCGTGACACACAGCCACGGGGAAACGCGACATGGCAGCCACGCATGCGGGATGCACACAGGACACAAGCCCACACTCGTGCACGGGTGTCGCAGCCGGTCCCAAGCCCCTGCCAGGTGCTGATTCGCAGACTCACGTCCTGCGCCCTCGAGGCCCCTCCCACCATTTCTGTCCCCTCCACTCGCTACCTGGGGAGTGCCCACTGGACACGCCGCAAACCAGCCTCTCGGCCTGCCGTGGCCACGTGGGAGTCTCTGGCTCTTGGGTGGCTCGCTGTGCGCAAAACACCCCGCTCCCAACTTCCTAACTCCATCTGGGGAATGGGGCCAGGTGGGGGCGGGGGAGGCTGGACACCTTGGGCTCAGAAAGTGGGTAGCCAGCGGTCAAGGCCAGGCGTCTTCCCTGGAGAGCCGGCTCCTCTGCCGGCGCTGACGTGGGTCTCCCTCCGACGTGGCCCCAGCACCCAACAGGGCCACCTCCTGCTCACCTGGGATCAGCAGGCAATGGAGCTGTGCCCTCTGGATGTTCTGGGACCTCTCCCCTGATCCCCCATTCTTCCGGTGGGACTCAGGGCCCCCCATCTCCTGCTCTCTGGGCTGTCTGCGCCACCACCTCCCTCCTGGCGGCCCTTCATGTCCAGGCGCCCACCAAGGCATGACTCTGCCCACAGCTGTGTCACCCGGTGGACCAGCTGTTTAGATGTACCTTCACTGAAAGTAAGTGATGTCTAAAACCCTGCTCCTTATCCTGCTGTCACATGTTCTGTGCCCAGTACCCACATGGAGCTGCTGGTGGTGGCTGTGTTGGACCCAGCAGATCTGAAACTTGGCCATCCTTGTGGGAAGTTCTTTTGGACAGCAGTGGTCTAGTCCCCAGACTGGCAGGTGGCCCTGGGAGGAGGGGGGCTGTATCCTGGGCCCTGCAACTGGGAGGGTGAACTGGGGGTAGGAAGGAGTTGGGGAAGGGGGAGGAGGAGAGAGGGACATTGCAGGGGAGGCACCTGGTTGGTTGGGCTCTGGCCTGGTTGGGGGGGTTACAGGGATGTTAGATGTGGGCCGAGGTTCCAGGGCCTGACTGGACACAAGGGTGGGAATTCTAGTTGATCAGCAAAGGAAAGGGACAGGTGTGTTTGTTTATTCTCAGTAACAGCCTGGGGAGCTCTCTTTGAGACCTCTCCCACTTGCCAGCAGATGCCTGCTCCCCACTGCCCGTGGGGACACACACCACACCACACTCTGACCTGGGCCTATGGAGCCCCAGACCTGCCAAGGCGCCCACCCTCCCAGCAACCCTTTCCTGCCTCCTGAAAAACTCTTCAATCAGAGCAGGTGATGGATTTGGTCCACTTTTTTCTGTAATGAGAAATTCCTCCCCACATATTTTTAGCTTTCTCCAAGGCACCGCAGCCTTTGAAGGTTGAGGGTGCCCTGGACACTGATCCCCAGCCCTGGCAATTCTGCTGAAGGGCTGGAGTGCAACAGGTCATGGGTGCTGGGTGGTGGGCACTGGACGGGATCAGTGGGCAGGTGATGGGGGGTGGGTGATGTGCTGGGGGTGGTGGGCAGTGGGTGAGCAGGGGTGGGTACTGGGTAGGGCTAGTGGGTGCCGGGCCGGGAATAGTGGGTACTGGGTGATCGGTCACAGTTGTTGGGCAGTAGGCGGTGGGTGGTGGACCAGAGCTGATGGGCACAGGCTAGGGGCAGGTCTGGGCCTGGCTTAGTTGAGACCCTCCCAGAGTCTGAGGCAGACCTTCAAGCCTAGGAGAGCAGACCACTGTGAACAGGGACAGACCCCCATCAAAGACCCTGTCCTGGGTCTGAAGCTGAGGCCGACAGTCAGCTCTCAGTGACCCCTGTCCCTGAACTGAGCCTTGAACTAAGACTGACTCCTGTCCCCAGAGTGAGCCTGACCTCTGACCCTTGACTCCATGACCCCTGACCTCAGCTGACCTCCTGATGGCTGGTCTGGAGACCAGAATGGCCAGGCACTCTGAAAGGGGACAGAGCCTCCTGGGCACCCACAGCGGTCCCCACCAGGCAGGGGTCCCCAAGGGCAGCTGGGCAGCTGTGCCTGCGGCCCCATCCCTGCCTCGCCTGGGGCCAGGCCATGGAGCTGCCCTGCTCTCCCCTGCCCGGGCCCCCTCCTCCGGGAGCGGCCAGCGGGCGCAGGGAGGTTGAATGGGGGACGTGCGCTTTGTTCCTGTCCCCGCTTGGGCTCTGACCTTGAGAGAGAGACGAGAACAGAAGGAAAACGGAGCTTCTGCTCAAATCCTCTCAGCAGCGGCAGCGGCGGCGGCTCCCGCCTCGGTGGCCCCTGCATGCAAATGAGTCGACCCATCCCAGCCTCAGCCAGGGCATCCCCTTGCACGCTGTGCCCTTCCGACACCCCCACCCCTGCAGGTCCAAGTCCTGCTGGGTGTGACAGAGAAGACCCCCCCACCCATGAGGTCTCATGACGTGGGAGGGGGCTCTCGTCCCAGAGCGAGAGGTCCCCTTTGGCAGCCAGGCCTGGCCCCCTGGGCTCATGGCCCCTGTCCCTGGGCTTGGGCCCCACGCCTCCCTGAGTGGCCACCCCATCACTCCCCAGAGAGCCAGACCAGCCAGCCTGTGCTGAGCCTGGCCTGTGTGGCTGGAGCCCCAGACTTGGGCTCCAGTGGTCCAGACAGACTGGCGGCCTTGCCAGGTGAGCCTGGGCCAGTTCTGGTCCTCTTTCAGCCTTCTGGGCCTGCCCCGGCCACCGCCAGGGGTGGGAGGTGGGGCATGTTCCTACCTTCCTGTGTGGAGCCCTCTAGGCTAGGCCTGGGACTTCAGACTCCAGCAGACTACAGTCAATGGACAAGATCCAGAAGCCAGAA